AACAATGTCTAGCCGTCTTCTCCTGCCCTAACTGTGCTTTCTCACTCCGTTCTTATTAGTAGCAGCTCAGTATTAAACACCCCTGAATTTCGTGCTCCAGCCCGTCTCCGGGATAGAGTCCCTGAGATGAGGCCCAGCCAAGGTGTGGTCATTTTGACTGATGGTTTGAGCCGCGTTGCCAGACTCACTCCAGGAATAGAGACGAGTAGGCTGTCGTGCTTCCTTCCCCTTTGACGAGAAGTTACATTTTCAAACACTTTTTTTCTTTTAACCAATTTAGTGTCTATATTTATGCTGTGAAGGTGCTAAAGTAAATTTGACTTCACTTGTGTGTATTTTATTAGAGCAAATTTGTACATATTTTCAAACATATAACACCTTTTTGTATTTCTGGGTTTGCAATCTTGTCCTAGTCTATTGAACTGTCTTCTTGGTTTTAAAGATATATTTTTCCTTTTTAGTTTGTTTAAAATTTTAGACAGTGTATTTTGATCATATTTACTCCTCACATATCCACCCTTTTCCCTACCCACCCAACTTTGTGTCATCTTAAAAACAAACAAAAAACTATCAAATACAATTTTTGCTGCCTGAGTACTTTTGTATGGTATGTGTGGTATAGTTCTACTCACTGCAAACTGACTCTCCCTCCCCCCAGCTATCAGTTACTAGTAGCTACTAGTCCCTAGGGGTGGGACTTCCTGCCTTCCTCCCCTCTCCAAACCAGGATGTGGTCTGGCATTGGTTTATGCAGGTCTTGTGTGTGTTATCTTAGCCATTGTTAGTTTAGGAGCCCAGCTGGCCTGTTGTGTCTGGAAACCACTCTTTCCTTGTAATCATCCTCTTCTACTGATCACTCTCTTTGTGCTTCCTTCTGCAGTAATCCCTGAGCCCTGGGATGATGTCTCATTTGGGGGCCAAGGATTCCATAGTTTCTTATTAATTCTTTGTCCTTTGGCCAGTTGTAGGTTTCTGTGTTAATTACCATCTACTAAAAAGAAGCTTCTTTGATGAGGGTTGAGAGAAGCACTGATCAATGGGTTTAGCACCAATTAAGTCGTTAGAAGTCACTTTAATACTATGCCCATTTAGCAGGTTAGTAGTGCTAGGATCTTCAGGATATATGACCTATCTAGCCATAGTGGTTTTTTATATTCTAGATTGCCTCTGTCAGATGTATAACTGGTAAAGGTTTTGTTCTCCATTCCTCTTTGCTGTACAGAAGCCTTTCAGTTTCACGAGGCCTCACTTATCAATTGTTCTCTATGCCTTTGCTTCTGGGGTGCTGCTCAAAAAGTCTTTTCCAGTGTTAATGAGTTCAGGCCTACTCCCTATTTTCTCCTCTATCAGATTGGGGCACATGCAGACTTTATAGATTTTTAAAAATGTATTTTGAATTTTGCAAATTTGTTTCCAGCATCAATGAAGGACATATCACTTCTTCCTTTGATTTATGATGTATTTATCCATTTCTAATAAAGAGCCACTTTCCCATTCCTGAAGTAGACTCCTCTAGTTATGAAGTATCACCCTTTTAGTGCAGCAGTGGGTGTATGCCAGGGTCCCTGCAAGCCTCACAGCTAGCAGGAAAGAGTGAGACTTGGGTCAGTGCCACCTTAGCAGGTGCTGGGTCAAAACTTTCAGAGTCTGGCCAAGGAGTTTATTTCTCTTACTCATAGAAACAGTAAAAGTTTGGGGGAAAAGATTTCTCATAACAATTATCACACCAAAGCTTCAGGGGTGGCTTCAAACCCTCTTGCAAAATACACCTCTATAGCAAAGCATTTGTGTCCTTTATAATCAAATGAGTTCTATTGACAAACAGTGCTCAGGGTCAGGGGTTAAAGAGGAAGCATTTGTAATGAGCATAAGGAGAGAGTATATTGATACAAAGTGCATGACCCTCTTTCATAAGGATGGATTCTGTTCACTGAGCGGTAAAGCTCAGGTCAGGGCCTAAACAATGCTCAGGATTTTGGGGGATTCCGGTAAAGGCTGCCTCCATAGAACAGTGAAAAGATGACCAGGTTGTTAGATGACATTCACTCCCTCTTTCCAGGTGGACAGGCAGCTTTTCCTTCCCTTGAAGAAAATAAGCCTCCATGTTTAACAATTCTGCTTCCTCTTTCCTCAACACTTTCTCTAAGCTATGCCTCCTACAGATATGATTGCTAATTTTTTCATTTGATATCTTTACCCTGGTAGTCACTTGTTTTATATTCACCAAATTTTAATAACTTTATACTGAAAAAAATATAGTGTTGAAAATTAAAAGTCATATAAGTTTAGCAGAAGAATAAGAGATAAGGAGGAAGATAGGATCCATGAACCTAAATGTAGGCCCATCAAAGATGCTCAAAATGAGATACAGAAAGAAACAGCAGTGTTTAAGAAAAATAACAAAGCAGAAGCATACAGGGCATAGTCAAAAGATCAACATGTGTGTAACTGAAGCCTCAGAGGTAGAGAAAAAGAAGGTGAATGAAATTTTTGAAAGTGTTTTAAGATATATTACCTAAGAATTTTCTAAAAATATTAGCTTATGTTCATCCATATATTCATGGCACTCAACACATTTTCATACAAAGAGAGAAAAGCAAATGTAGGCACACTATTGTTTAAACGCAAAGAAAGCAGTATAAAAGGATCCGGGGGGGGGGGGGGAAAGACACTTTGCCTTAAAAGGAATGCTCGTAATCCCTGGCAAACTCTCCAGCTGACATCAGGAAAGCTAGAAGGTACAGAACGGCATCGTTAAAGTGTTGGAGGAAAACAGGTGAAACTGAGGCATTTCAGTGTTGCAATATCTTAAAAGGTAAAGACAAAATAATGACATTTTCAGACAAAACTTTAAAAACGGAAAAAATCCTATAGACTGCTTTTGTCACATTTCCCGTTTGTCAGGCTGAAGATGACCTTCCATTAACTTTTAGTTTTTGCTGTCTTGGTTAACACATCAGCTATAATTCTGCCCGTGGATCCATTGAAAGTGATGTCTTGTCTCTTTCTGCTTCCAGGGTTTTATCTTTGATTTCTTCTGTTTTATTGTTATAGATTTAGGTATAAATTCTTAGCCATCACCTCTTGAGATGTCGTCTTGGGTATATATAGCCATTGCTTTGCTGAGATCCTCATGAGACCCCTATCCTCATGTTATTTCCTCATGCCACTGTTTATATTTTATGAGCCATTTTTCATTTCACTAATTTCTTTCATTTAAAAAAAACCAAAATTCTCTTATTATTGATATTCTTTAAAGGTTGTTTTTTTTTTTTTCTCCTCTGCAGTCTTTTCTAAAATTTAGGTCATTTTATTTTATTGTTTCTCTGTAAGGCCTAGAGTATGACTGTTCCCCACATTGAGATCCCTTTTCAATCTCCTGTTCTCTGGGCACAGCTTCAAGATCATCCAGGGGTTTCTATGAACGTGCTAAGTCTAACTGCCATGTGGGCTCTGTCTGTTCTTGGTGAGCCATTTCTGTTTTTCACGTGTCGCTGGTTCTAACACGAAGAGCTGCAGTTCTTCACCAGCCTCACTATATTTGGCTGTGCGCAGTTGGATGCAGACGCCTTCACATGAGTTGTTTCTTTCCATTATCTCAGGTCAGAACCAGGGAATGGCATGAACTCGAAGTGAAGTGTTCTGCAAGATGCAGGCAACTTCAGCAAGCTCTCTGACGGCAAACTAGGACCAGGCTCCTTCTAGTTCACCGTCATCTTGGGGTCATAACTCTTTGAGTACCAGGATTTACAGTGAAGGTCCTTTTGTCTCATCTATTTATTAACTTGTATAATGGAACTCAGTGTCATCCATAATTAAGAATATGCGAATGAGATGAACCGTGAGCTTTCACCAATTATTAAATTTCACTCTGCAGACTGAAATGGCATGCATGGGGCCTGCATGTGTCTGCAAAGGTCTTCTGCATGTGTGTTATGGCTGTTAGCTTGGTGTTTTGGGAGGACGCCTAACAGTAGTGTCTCTGGCTCTTTTCCTGTTTTGAGACCCCTTTGATCTCTTTGCCTGTGACTCGGCAGCAGTCCACAACCATTGCCTTGCTAAGGGAAGATGTTCCTGATATCCCTTTAAAATTATCTCCCGGTAGTTTTCTCTCTCTCTCTCTCTCTCTCTCTCTCTCTCTCTCTCTCTCTCTCTCTCTCTCTCTCTCTGTGTGTGTGTGTGTGCTAACCCAGCACAGTACTGTGTGTGCTATTGTCATTATTGTTTGGATATGTGATTCTGTTCAGGCAGTTTCCAGTTTCTAACGTACTGACTCTGTTTTCTGACTTAAATCCCCTGGTGATGATCAGCTCCTCCCAAATATATTTGCCTCTATCTTTTTAGAACCAGAAACTAGATCATGCTGTAGCTAAAGATGAGGCAGGTGTTTATGATTCTGAAGCACACGGTCCTCCTGGCTAAGCTGTAAGCCCAAAAAGTATTTGTGAAGAAGAAAGTCCTTAGATAACCTTCCATAACAATTCATATTTTGCGTGGTTTATATTTCTTAAAATGACCAAAAAAGATAGTTTGATTTCCTGTAACTTCAACGAAAGGCCATAATTAAGTTTTCTGATCATATCTGACTCTGGATTGATGGACTCGGGGAGAGTAAAATATGTGATGGTTGTTCTATATTCCCTAACCTCATCTTGATTTTTTTTCTTAAGGGCCAGATCTATCATTCTAGAGTTAGTCTTTTATGTGTGTGCATACCTGTGCAGGTCAGAGGTCAGGGTCAGCTGGCTTCCTCTGTCCACCTTATTTTTTGAGACAAGGTCTCAACTTTGACTCGACTGGCTGATCAGAGAACCCTCGGGAATTCATCTGTCTCCTCCTGGCCAGCTGTGGGCTTCTGGACATATGCTCGGCTTTTGTGGGCGTGGATTCTGAAGAACTGAACTCAGGCCTTCATGCTTGCCTGGGAAGTACTTTATCAAGTGAGCCAGCTCCCCACCCTAGAATAAATCTTCGTGTGTTTCTACCTTGCTCATTCCTAGGTGAGATGGTGTTTGTGCGTCTCTATGGAGCTGCCATAGATGTGAATATAAGACTGGACAAGAATTCCTTGATCATGGAGAAAACGTACATATCTCTGGCCAATCAGCGGACGATAACCATTCATAACCGCTCTAATATCATTGCCCATTTCCAGTGGAAGATATTTGCTACACAGGAAGAGGAAGACAAAGAAAAATATAGGTTTGTATCCGAAACCACCTCTATGTAGCAATGCAGGGGTACAATGGGATAAAACCAGTTAATCTGGGGGGAGGGGCGGGAAGCACAATTTATGGTAAATTCTTAACCACCACAAATAATGTCCAACCTTGAGAAACTGGCTCCAGTGTGGGCGCTCTTTGGGAGCCTTGTAGCATCAAGTGTTGCAGATGCTCAGTCAGACTTAACCTGGTTATAGTGTAGAATAATTAGAAACTTAATTAGTTTTAAAAATATGTCATTCTTTACTGTTTTCTTAAGCACTAATGTACAAATATATATAACTTTTCAAAGCCCTGGCCAAATTTATCAGCTCTTACAGTGAGTCCCCCAAATAATCCATTTTGGACTGGCATCAATGCCCCCCCCTTATAAAAAGATATTTTCAGAAAATAGAAGGAAGGAAAAGAAGGGTTTAGATGTAATGATTTTTATATTTTGGCTTTCACAACACTGCCTAATCTCTCTGAACCATGTAATTTAATAACGATTTCTTAGTGGAATCTTTAGTAGTCTATTTTAGAGAAAATGATCATTCAAATAGCAGCAGATTAGAAAAATGTAAAACCAGCCAGCTTTTAGCTCCTGCCTCATGGTCGCATCCTGGACATTTCTTTTGATTGACCCCATCTTTGCCTGTCTGAAGCTGCACTCACTTTATCTCCTTAGATCTGTCTGAATTAACACCGCTGCTGCTTTCATTACAATTTACTGCAGTCTCTGCCTCTCCATTGCCATGAAGGATTAGCCCTGGGAGGCTTCAAGGCTTTGTTTAAAACCGCGTTAGGGTGGAATAAAAGTGAAAGTCTTAGACCCCTGGAGAGCTGGCAGAAGCCCCCCCAGTGCCCTGTACCTAATTGAATCAGAAGGATCCAGGACAATGAGGGGACACAGTGGGCAGAAGATCCAGGTGACGAGCTTTCACCACAGGATCGCCCGTGAAAGAACAGCCTTTCCTGCCTGCAAACCTCACCGGACCTCATGGCCTAGGCATGCCGATGATGGTTTTTTTCTTCAATTATTAATATTGCGTAACTATGAAAGATCACAATGAAACCCACTCATGTACAGTTAATAATTGCTAATAAGAGTGGGAAATTCTTAGAAGGAAGTTCTGCAGCAACGATGTCTGCTGAGCAGCAGCTGGAAAGGCCAAGCAGGTTTAAAGCTGGAGCCAGAGTGGAGCCAGGGGAAGCGGCAAAGGGAGTAACAGCAGCATTGCTGCAACCGCCCTCCTGGGGGAGCCGTTTGCAGGGAAGGAGAAAATGCAGCTTTAAGTCCAACCGTTTCTCCATAGGGCGGGGGCTGTGGGGACTGGTACCAGGCCAGTGTCCAAAGAGTGTCTAGAAGCTAAATTTTAACAGTTAAAGTTAAATGGAAAGAAGGGATGGAGGGAGGGAGGGAGGGGGGGGGGGGGGGGGGGGGGGGGGGAGGGAGGAAGGAAGGAAGGAAGGAAGGAAGGAAGGAAGGAAGGAAGGAAGGAAGGAAGGAAGGAAATGGTAGGTATGGAAGGTGCCAAACCATCCAGAATAGAACTTCAGACACAAGTTCTGTCTCCACCTCATTTCCCCTGACACTCATACTCCTAGTTTTTTTTTTTAAAATATATATTTTTTTTTACCTGTTTTGTTTGTTTGGCTGCTTGGGTTCTTTGTTGTCTTGTTTTGAGACAAGACTGACCTCAACCATCACTAAGTAGTCAGGGATGACCTAGCATTGCTAATCCTCCTGCCTCTTGTCTCCTCATAGCAAAGTTTACAGGTATATGCTATCTTGCCTGGTTGTATCAAGTACTGGGATTCAACTCAGGACTTTGTGTGTGCAAAGTCAGCACGCTAACAACTGAGCTATGTCTCTGGCCTGGCTGTGTGTGTGTTCAGGAATGTATGTGTACATGCACATACAGAAGACAGAGGGTGATGTTATCTTTCCCAGTCACTCTATAGAGGTATACCTTATTGTTTGAAATGGGGTCATTTACCAACCTGGAGCCCTTGGACTTAGCTGGACTGGCCAGCAGTCCCCAGGGATTCTCCTACTTATACATCTCCAGTGCTGGGATTAGCAGCAAGCATCCTGTGCCCAGCTTTCTACTGGGTCCTGGGGAAATGAGCTCCAGACTTCCTGTTTGCATGACAAGTGCTTTATCAGCTGAGCCATCGCCCCAGCCCCAGTCCCACTGTTCACCGTGTGTCTATTGTATAAAATAAGTTTTCTTATGGCATCTCCACTTCAGATGTGTGTCTAGTGAACTTTGATTATGCTGATTATATTAACGCCCACGTTTTCCTGTTCTCCCTCTCTTACATCCTCGTAGTCTCCATCTTAGTTTCCATGTCCTTTTATGTCTCCTTGGTCTAGCCTCCACATAGGAGAGACAGTATGCAGCACTGTGTCTGTGGGGCTGATGAGTTTCACTTAGCATGACGCCCTCCAGTTCCTGCTGTGTTCCTGCAAATGTTTTAACTGCATCCTTCTTTTGTGGCTGGAGGGGCTCCGCTGTGCAGTAACACCACATTTTCTCTATCCATATCGTTTCTCTACACCACTTGTAGGTGTATGGCCAGAAGAATCAGTTAGCTCTCCATGGTGGCATCTGCACTCACCGTGATCACAGCCCTGCGCACAGGTTTTAAACAACAAACTTAACAGTGGCTTTTGATCTCTGAATAGGATTGTCTTCACTTTCTCTTGGGGTGACATATATCAAGGTACCTTGTGGTTCCCTCAAATAGATTGATTTTTCTAAGTAAAAAGTCTACTGAATGCGACCCTGCCTTCTCTCCTTCTTCCAAGCAAGCCGCATTATGCCTGATCTTTAGCTCGACCAACAGTGGCCCTTCTCCCTTTTCCCTTTTCTGTTCCTCAATGCGTTCCCAAGCATGCCTCAACTTTCATACCATTATTTTCACCTGGGGCCCCTGTCTCCGAAATAACTGCCAGCTACTCTTTCTAGAACAAGGCAGGTGCTTCTTACTCAACAGCGAGTGTGATGGTGGTACTTGTGCAAAAGGTCGTGGTCTCCTCTTTCATTGCACATCTTCAGGTTGTACCCAAGGCCATACATGAGCAGTACACAGAACAGAGGTCTGCCCAGTCCCCCCAAAACAGTAGCAAGGTCATGAACCAGCAAGAGAATGCCTCTCATGTTCTCCAGCAAGGCCCATGCTGAAGTCCCTGACCCAGTCCTTTGTATATGTGAATCTCTTGCTCCTGATGAGGCCGACAACAGCTTCTTGCTTATCTTCCTTTCCTCCACCAGCATCTCTAGTTTAAACTGCAGAGAGAAGCGTCAACCTTGGTCCTGAGCTTAGCATAGAGGGAACGTGTCTTTAATTAGAGACGCACTTCCAGGGATTAAAACTTCCCTTTTCAGCATCCCAGGGACCTAAAATAGAAGGTTAGTGTTACTCCACAAAATGAGACTCCACTGTCTTCTCTCAGCTGTCTGTTTGCAAAGTGGCTTCCATCTCATCCTGAGCCGTTCACCTGCAAGTACTGAAACTTGCTCAAAGGTCCCTATAAAATGCCAACCCTTCTAACAAATGGCTCCAACTTCTGTTCCATTCATCATGGTATCTCACCCACAGAATCTTGGAGAGCCAAGATTTGGTTGTCTCTTTTCCCAGTGGAGGACTTTCAGCCTCTCCCTCTTCCATCCTGGGAAGGATGACCTTCCTCTCTTGCCTGTCTTACAGTGTTGGAACCCTTGGGCATGTGTCTGGTCTGAGAAATATGGGGCTACTGCCAGGCTCCAGGTTCTGGCCATGAAGATGCCCCTCCTCTAGGAAGAAGTTCTGAGCTTTAAAATTGTTCTTCTCTTTAAAAACCAGCAAACAGAACACCTTTAGAGTCTGAAATTAAGGATCTTTTGAAGAAATCACCTTTTTGATCTATTTTTTGATGTTTCTCTGGAGCCAGAAAGGACATTAATCTCTTCAGAAAGGACCTCATCCTTCCTTTCTTGCTCAGCTGTGTCTGGGCAAGTGCGCTCTGCAAGATTTTCCCAGCCGCATTCTCCTCACGTTCCCCATTTTCAGAGACTCAGTATGGGCTTTTATGGATTTTTGCTCCTAGAATCTCCAGCAGGGTCAAAGTCATTGTTTCAAGAGCAGGTGGCTCTAATTCTACACTTGCTCAAGACCTCACAGTAACCTCAACGGACAACCCCATACTGTGGTTAGCAGGGATTTATTTCACGGCATTCAGGTGCACGAAATGACCACATCTCTCTAGTTAATTCAACCTTAATTGATGTTTGAGCCTGCCACCTGGGTTACTGTAATGAATTTAATTTCAGTTATGTTTAGGGGCTCCTTCCTGGTTTCATTAAAAAAAAAAAAACACTCTGAAGATAGAAATGGCACCTGATAAACAGGACAGGAGACTCTAGACGTGCATTCGTCACACCATTATCTAGGGTCACACAGTCCATTCGGAGGTGATGGCCCCATTGTCTCCACTTACTCTTTCGTGTTATAGGCAGCTTTGGAAGTGTATCTCCCAGCTCTGAAGGCCAGGAAACTTACTGTTTAGTCGCTTCAGCATCCAGTTACCAACTCTATTTGTTACTTGTCTCATTGCGACAAAATACCCTACAACATGAGAGGGAAGCCCTTTCTGGTGCTGGGTATGTATCTCACCCTTTGTTCTTCCTGCTACAAGATGTCTTGCTGCAACCCATGCCTCTTCTGGCGGTGGAACCCTGGGCTGGGTTTGCATCCCAGGCTCTTGCGAAAAACTCCACAGTGCTCCGATCTGAGACCTGATCCACACTGAATTTTTTTGTTTTGTTTTGTTTTTTTGTTAGACATAATTGGTACTTTATTGGCATATAAAACACAGCAAGTGACTTTTAGGACTGTCTTCTATTGTAAATACACAGCTGGATGTGAGTGTCCAATCCTCTGCCTCAGTATTTTTCCCCTTTACGATGCCATTGAAATTGGCCCTGGTCGCTTTTTCTGGTTTCCACTTTCGGGATAGTATTTAGGCAATCTTGTGAGACATTCCATAACTTCTTGTTTATTATAGTTTAGGTCTTGAAGGTCCTCCTAAGGCCCATGTGTTGAAGCATCCCAGTGGTCACATCTCGATGAAGACCACACTGAATTTTTAACTCAACTTGTTTTCTAATTTAAAAGAAACATGTTGTTAAAGTATAAATGTTTTTTTAATTACATCTGTGATTATGATAAAAATAAGTTCTAATCATATGACCCAGAGAAAACCTAAGGAATATTTTAGTATCTGTAAATGTATTCCTTTGCAAAACGAGTATGGTTTTTCCCCCTTGCTTGCTTTTTTTTTAAATCAAAAAATTTGGGGGTTTCTCTCTCCAGAATATATTTTAACGAGTCTACTGCCATCTATAACTCTAGTTCCAGGGGATCTGAAGCTCCTATATGGAGTTTACAGACCACTTTTCTTCCCTGTCCTTCAAAGAAGGTCAATCTAGCTGGGTCTTTGTTTCTGTGATTGTTGTAGAATTTACTGCTGCAAGTGGAGTCTCTCACTTGAAATGGTATTAGTTGCTTTCTATAGCTGTAATAAAACACTACAAACAAGGCAACTTATTAAAAAAGTTTGGCTTGGCTTACAGTTCATGATGGTGGAGTGAAGGCATGGGGGCAGGAACAGCTGAGATCACATCTCGAACTGCAAGCAGGAGGCAGAGCGCACACTAGGAATGACCTGTGTCTTTTGAGTCTTTTGAAACCTCAAAGCCTGCTCTCAGTGACACCTCCTCCAACAGGGCCACACTTCCTAGTCCTTCCCAAACAGTTTCACCAACCAGAGACCAAGTATTCAAATATGGGAGCCTATGGGAGCCATTCTCATCCAAACAACCACACAAATGATGTGCAATTTCTAAGTCTCTCAGATAGCTGTCAACTAGCAACATAAAAAAAGAACTGGATTCCTTGCTTCCCAAGCTGGTATGGCCAGTGGCTTAGGAGGACTGGTTACCTTGGATACTGCTTCCCACCTAGCAGTACAAGGGAAATGTAGGCTGCTTTCTTCCTTGGATCCAGAACACGCCAGATCCATTTATTTGATTTCCTTGTGTGATATAGACAAAGGGCTCAGAACACTGAAGTTATTTAAAAGAACCACTTGACAAAATGGAGCCTCTGGTTTGTATGAGGTCATCTAGGAAGTCAGAGCTGAGACAGGAACTCAGTGACCTCACACACCCACTCAGCACTCCCTTGCTAAGGATGTGCCGTCACCTGGGTCACAGCATCACAGTGCTGGGAACAGGAGCAAGTGTCCCAAGGGGAGAGTGCAGGCCAGTCTGCAGGGTCATCTGGAAAGGTGAGGGCTGCAAGGAGAGGCTTGGAAGAGGCTGTTCTCTCACTGACCATGGTAGACAGTGAGAACTGGGAAGTAAGTGAAGGAGGCATCTCTGGGCGTGGCTCAAGCATCTTAAAAGCTTGGCATCTTAGGAAGGCCGATGCCTGACAGAGGCAGAAAGATGGTACTGATGGAGCACCTGCTCTGTGCTGGGATCTGAACCAAGGCCCGAATCACCTTTAAGCCCCATCTCTCAGGTTAGAAACTCTGCTCCCATCACCTCTAGTTTTCTGGGAACAAGCACCAAGGCTTAGAGGAACTGGGAAGCTCCCAGAGTCTCAGAGCTAGGAAATAGATCGTAAAATCAGTATCTAAACCCAGCCCTCACCAGCCCCACATTCTATTCCCTAGACAACAAACAGCTAGGAAAGAATTAAAGCAAGACAAGCTTAACAGGAACAAAGTCATCCTCTCCATATGAGAGCAGAGCAGATGTTAAATAATTTAAAAATAAGCATGGGAAACACAATTACCTAAAAGGAAATATTTGTTCAGATACATGCTGGCTCAGAAGTAAACAGAAGGGCCTTGAGTGGGAAAGAAATCCCAGAGAACTTCTGGAAGGAGGTGACAAGGGATCGTCAGACTCGGCCTCTGAAAGTTCTGAGGAGGCAACACAAAGTCACCCACTTACATATTGTAGACTCAGGGCAAGGAGGGACCCCCCTCCCAGGAGGTGTAAGGACAGTCCCAGGAGAGGGGACTGGAAGCGAGTTCCTGCCCACAGCTCTTCATGGGAGTCCCACGGTGACCCTTCTATTTCCTCATTTTCTTTAGGGTCTGTGACGATCTGACGAAGGAGGAAAAGCAGGAAACCGACATGTTTCTGGAAGAGTGCCTTTTGGATCCTTCGCTCCGAGAACGCCTCTCTATTCTCTCCCGCACCTTCGAGAACCAGAGGAAGCTGGTGCGAGGAGACAGCATGCTGTTTCTGGATAACATTTTCACCATCGAGCCCCTGGTGAGCACCAAACAGAACCCGATTATCTAGTGAGCACAAGCAGGGGTGCAGGGCTGCTTCTGGGCCTGGCGCGGCGAGCCCTGAGACTGATGTGACCGACGTTAGAGACACTGCGTGGAGGCCGGTGACAAGGATGCTGGCAGGTCACGCTTCCTGTCCACCTGTCACGGTGGTCATCTTACCAATTGCCCAGGATGTAGCATTTGTGTATATATCACCTTACAACAAACCCAAAATATATAATTAAAGCCCCATATAAAAATAAGGAAATGAGAGCACTTACATCTCATAGCTGGCTTATGGCCAAGCAACTGGTGTCTGTGGTTGGAAACTTAGCCCAGATTAGTCTGACTATATAGCAGAATTTCTCAGCCTTAGCACCATCGATGTTGTAGATGTATAATTCTTAGTCCTGTGCCTCCTTTCTCCCGGCATTCAGCTTAGTTTTCCCTGCGCAGGCCCAAGACAGTTTCTTTATTAACCAATGATAGTCATAGCATCCGCTGGGAGCATGGGGCAGGGGAGAAGACAGAGAGGGAGAGATGATGCAAAACCCATGACCACGTGTTCCTTTTTCCCGTGTGAGCTTAAATAGCCTGTGGAGTGGTCCTGACCCTCCCTGGGGAGGAATCAGCGTTTAGCAGGCTTTCCTGAAGGTGGAGTCCAGCTCAAGGCAACTCCCGGGGGGAGGGGGCCTGAGATGGAGCTTTCTGCTCCATTGGCACTCCATTGGCACCCCAAGAATAAATGCCAGGGGCTGGGGTGATGCCCCCAACTTAATATTACAAAACCCATTTAAATATTTGGCCTTCCAAAAGGGTCAGAGTTCGTGCTAGCAGCATGGCCCATGGTGGGGAAACTGTTTCAAAACCATGGCTTTTTTTTTTTCTGCTACCGCTGAATCAGGAAAACCCCTCTTAACGGAGCCATGGCGTTAAGCCATGCTTAACTTTGTTTTTTGTCTGTCTGTTTGTTTGTTTTGTGCCTCGAATTCCTTCCCAAACTCCCTCAGGTTTTAAGTGAATTTTAATTGGCCATGTTGGGACTATTTTGTTGCAAGGAGGCCGCTTGTTGGTTCCCAGCTGCTCAGCCCTGAAATAATTATACAGAAACCATATCACTTAAATCATTGCTTGGCCCATTAGCTCTAGCTTCTTATTGACTAAATCTTACATATCAACTCAATCCACCTCCATTAATCTGTGTATCACCAAGTGGCTGTGGCTTATTGGATAACGTTCCGGCATCTGTCTCTGGCAGGGCTACATGGCTTCTCCTTCCTCCCAGCATTCAATTTAGATTTCCCTGCCTACCTCTATTCCCTGCACAGACCCAAGACAGTTTCTTTATTAACCATTGGTATTCACAGCACACAGAGAGGAAATCCCACAGCACAGAAGAGATCAGAACCAGACATTGGCACAAAGCTGTGGTTTAATTAAGTGAAGACGGAGGGGAGTGTTCCCAGTTAGAGAGATCGTGGAAGCCATGGGGAAAGGAAACATTCTGTTTACAGCAGGATGGAAGACAGTGAGCAGAACAGTTTCTGCTTGGGTGAGCAGAGGGAAGGTGGCCTATCATGTTCAGCCTACAGCTCCCTGTCTCCCACTATGCTCTTCTGGAGGGTCAAGCAAATTTGGGGAAAACTATGGGGAAAGAGAAAGTGTTTGTCCACATGGAAGAGTTCAAACACCACTTCCCTGGGAGCAGATCCCTCGCACAGAACACCCATTGGAGCTGACATTCTGTAGGTCCCAGTTTTGCCAGTGCTGATGAAGATCTGAGACCCATTGCAGGAGAGAGGTGTGCTCAACAGGGCTTGGAAAGTTTACCTTGATATCCATGTGTGGCTTGAATTGGAGGAGAGTGGATAGAGGGAGCATTGGATGGTACAGGTCAGTCGATGGAAGGTGGTGGAGGACAAGGGGCATAATAAGCAGGTCTTCAGCCAAGATCGGGATGATATCATGAGGATAATAGTGACCTGGAACAGCCCGGGGAGGGGGTGATTAGAAAGGAAAGGAGGTGGCAGATATGAGCCATAATCAAAAGGAAGACACAGCACGCTTTTTGATTAGTCACTGAGATTGAGACAGTATAAGGGCCGTAGATCTCACTGGAGTGACTGGAGGAGTTATGACATCTTTGATAGAAATTGGCAAATTAATAGCTCTGGTCTGAGCCTTGGCTTTGCAAATAGTAAATATGGCCTAAACTAGCCGTCTGGTCTCCCTTGGCTGCAGGTTCATTATATACCAAGGAACTGTGAATATTGGGAATAGGTTAGTCTTATCTTCTTTGACTCATAAATTCTAAGTCTAATTTGAGTCACACTGTGAGCTCCTAAAACCAAGAAATGTTTAATCCTCATCCCTAGCACTTGTCTCAGTGCTAATAAATGGTTGGATGGATATATAGCAATCAGAAAATATTAGTGAGTTTGGCTCTGAGCATGTCAACTTTGAGATTACTACAGATGTCCAGAGAGCTTCAGAAATATAGAACTAAAATTGGTGTTGGAAGAGATCCAGAGAATTCAGGACCAGAAGCAAGATTTGTGAGGCTACTGTAAAGGTCTTTATTGGAGACATGTAAACCAAATGGGAATTCTAGGAGTAGAGGGATAAAGGGCAAGTTTAGAGCTACAGAAGCATCTCCCTGCACCCACCCAAAGGGGACCCAGGAAGAGAGTAAGTGCTGGGATTGGACAGTATGAGAGCAAAGACACACACACACACACACACACACACACACACACACACACACACATTGAGGGCTTCCTCTACACAACTGATCCTGCACCACTGAACTTCTCTTCTGAATATTGCTAACTTGTCAGGTCTCTTGTATCAAATGATCACTACTTACTTTCTGACAGCTTAGCTGTGCATTGGTGATTAACTTTTTTCTGTGGTATGATCCCAGTTAAATAGCTTCTTGCTCTGGGTTGATCTTGCAGCAGAAGCAGCAAAGATCAGGAGCAAGTAGTGTTACCAGCTGGTCTAATAACCAATCTTAGTCACAGTCCACCCAAATAAATAAAGCCAAAGGTCATCAGCGGGTAGAGACCACCTTGCCTTCTGATGGGCTTCCTCTGGCCATGGAGGAAGGGCAGCGTGTTCAAGTGAGGTAAATATAAGAGAGACAAAAGAAGCAATAACAAAAACCCCTAATACCTTAGGGGCTGAATAGAAATTTTAAAAAAATCATCTCATTTTATCAGGTCTGCATCGACATAGTCTCATTCTTCAAGCATATCAGTCAATACTAAAGTTTAGCCTAGTCCTGCATACAGGCTGTGTGCCCTGCATATTGAGTATTTTCTGAGAACATTGTTCCGGTTTCAGAGGCTCTTCCCACTTAAAACAAGGAAATCCAGGATCAGGAAATCAATCCTGACCCCCCCCCCCCAGGTTGCCCAGAGATGGTGAAGGGTTTGAATTTAAATCTCAATTTATTGATATTATCACATGAGGAGTTGTTTGGTTCAATCCTATAGAAATAAAAGGCCCCACATTCTATAGTAGCGAATTCTCACTGTGTTCCAGGACCGCCTCACCATTTGGCCTTTCAGGGGTTTGAATGAGAATGAATGCCCCCAAAAGCTCATGTTTGGATACTTGGTTCCCAGTTGGTGGATTAGGAGGTATGGTCTTGTTGAAGGTATGCCATTGTAGATGTGCTTTGAAGCTTTCAAAAGACTCCTTCCACTCCCAGTTAACCCTCTGCCTCCTGCTTCTGAATCAAGATGTGTGTTCTCAGCTATTCCATCTGCCAGAGCTTTGCCACTGTCGTGGACTCTGTCTAACTCTCTGAAACCATAAGCCCAATCAAACTCTTTCTTTGGCAAGAAAGAGTTGCTTTAGTCATGGAGTTCTGTTACAAATCAGAACAGTAACCAAGACAGGTCCTATGTCTTTGCAGACTTTCTTCTCATGCCCATTCTTTGTGAAATGTGGCCATAAACCTGGCCATTGGGTCTGCTGCTTGAACTCTGAGGAGTTAGATTTGGGTGTCCTGAGTCCTGGTGGCCACAGAAGCACAGAGCCCCAGGCCTGCTTCTTTCTCCCATTTCCTCAGGATATGGACAGAGGGGAAGCTGGCCACTGCTCCACTGATGAAGCTGGGACTTCATTGTGGGACTTAGAATGTCCTTTGGTGAGAAAAAATAGAGCACCAAGGACCCAGAATAACCCGGAGACAGAACACGAAAAAGAATTTTGTAAAATGGTAGTTATTTATTTATATTGATATTTTAAAGCCATTGGGATTACTGTGTACTTATTAGGGCATAGGAGAAACAGCTTTTTACTTCTAGTTTCTTACATATTGATTCTTCGGATAATATCTTAGCATATTAATGTCATTATATCATTAGCTGACTTTCTCCATTTATTGCCTATGGGGAAGGCATGGAGCCATGCAGGCCACTGATGATTTGTAAAGTCACCTGCTTCCGTTTGAGATTTTCCCCATCTTCAGAAATAACCTGAGTCTATTATGCATGTTTTGTGCCTTCCAGAAAAGCAAAAGGAATTGACTGTTTCATAAATATAATATTCAGTTGTGCCAGGCAGACCACGTCTGGGCCCAGCTTTGATGGTCTCGTTCTGTTATTTCCTCTGCTTGAGTCTCCTGAGTCCCCCTGAAAGAGAGAAATCCAAAACTCAAAAACTCAATTTTGAACATTGAGCGGTGTGAGAATATCACCAGGCAAAGAGAAATAAGCTTTTGCATCCCATGGGCACCTAGCAATCTCAAGACCTCAGTGCAGATGTAACCATCCTGTCTCTGAACTGTGGTGCTGCTGGCTCAGGTGGCGCTTTGAAGACAGCAATTTTCTGAACGTGGAACACTTGGTATTTTCTTAAAAAGAAAGGCCTGAATGATTCAAGGTTCTTTTCCCAGCTAGCGCCTGCTGCATGTCTACAGTGTTTGAGCTGGCCCAATAGTCCTGCTCCTCTTAACCCACATCTCCCAAGTAGACTTAACCCTGCAGC